AGAAGGATAACTTCTCACGCGCCTACATAAGTACACGCACACATTTTTTTTTTTTATTGTACTCGGCTTTAATTTGTGTCAAAATACAATTTGTAAAAACTGTTTATGTTTAATATTAGTAAAAATATCTATTCTAGACGCTCAACTTTGATCCAAATATGATTTGGCCGATGTTCTTTGTCCGCTAAATGGTAAGTCTAAACCACCAGATTTAGTGGGAATTCCACTGAGTTGGCAACACTGGGCACAGACTAATAAGAGAACAAGTTATCATAGAGAAAATAGATTACTTCAGGGCACGGAATCTTCATATTAAAAATAAATACCATTTTTTGTGGCCATAGACATGGAATGGTATTTTAAAATCTGACATTTCCTTCCCCTCTTCATCTCTTTTCATCCCCCGTTCTCGCCAGCCCCGGTCCGTCATTACCACAGATTAATAAGGGGATACGCCATTACGCACAGAGTACATTATTATAGCCATTACCCAATAATATGGTACTCTGTGTTATTATTATAAAATTATTAAAACCGTTTATTATGCGTTGTGCCACTCTCTATTGGAATACTGCATCACCTCTTGGGGTAGAGGCGGCTTTACCTATAGTGCAGGGTGTGCGGTGCACACGGGCGCGGGGTCTAAGGGGGCGCCGGCGCCGGGTGGCTCGGCTCTAATACGACGATATGTAAGTTTCCATATTTCAAAGATGATGAAGAATTACTGAAATAAGTAAAAATCACTGAAAAATAAGTATTTATTGCTAATTTGAGTAAACCGATAATTACCGGTTCAATGCTTTTACATAATTTGTGGATTCAATTTAGATGCTCGTTTACAGCTGTCAACTGTTCTTAATTTATAGTTCGCAATTTCAGAATATCAATTCTCTAAACTTAAACTAACACTGGTGTCGATTCTGGCGTGATTCTCTAAACTTAAAATTAAATTTAACATCTGTTTTTCATTCTGTATAGAGAATGACAACGAAACACTGTTGTCAAATTTAAGTTTAGATTTAGAGTATCGTGTCAGAATCGACACCATTAGCTCCCTAATTTTAAGTTTAGGTTTAGAGAATTTAACGCCAGATTCGGTCCCAATGTTTTGCTTTTCGGGGAAGATCTGAAAAAAAATCCGCTCTGATAATGGTAACTTTTTAAAGCTGGTTGAATATACCTCTAATTTTGATAAAGTGCTTGCGGAACACATTGCCCTTATTCAAAAATGTGACTCACGCCTAACTCATTATCTTGGCCATAATATTCAGAATGAACTTATGCAATTATTAGGAGAAAGAATAAAAAGGACTATTGTTTTGGAATTGAAACAATCCAATTTTTTTTCAATTATTTTAGATTGCACTCCAGATGTTGCACACGAAGAACAAATATCAGATGTCGTACGGTACGTACTTTTTTTTTTTTATAGATAGATCCGACACATGAATTCACCCCACCTGATGTTAAGTGAAGGTGAAGTCCAGACGCGAAGATAGCTGATACAGCAGTTCTACCTGCCACACCAGCCATCCTCACCCTGCCGGCCTGCATGTTGCTTCTTCACGCCTCTTTTAAAGGATCCCAGGTTGTAAGAGGGAGGGAACACGTGAGCGGGCAGAGCATTCCATTTACGGATAGTGCGACAAAGAAATGAGTCACCAAATTTCTTTGTACGCGTTGGAATGGTGGCCACAGTAAAACGGTGACAACGTAGGCCAGCGCGCGTGGTCCTCTGAAGGAAAGGGGAAGGTGGGATAAGAGAGAATAACTCCTCAGAACACTCACCGTGGTACAAACGATAGAACGTGCTTAGTGACGCCACGTCACGGCGTAATTGAAGAGGCTCAAGGTGTTTAGTCACCTCCTCATCGCCTATGATGCGGATCGCGCGCCGCTGTAACCTATCCAAAGCATCGAGCAAGTACTTGCCGGAGCCATCCCAGAGGTGCGAGCAATATTCCACGCAGGACCGCACTTGCGTTTTGTACAACAAGCACAAGACGTGAAAAAACGCCGCACCTTGTTCAGGACTCCGAGTTTGCGTGAAGCTGTTTTGATCACGGTTTCGATGTAGTCCTTTGGATTCAGGTCTGAGCGAACTTCCATACCGAGCATGGAAATGTTGCTCTGCAGCGGTAGTGTTGTACCCTGAAGAGATGGAAGGGGAAGGAATGGCGATGTTTTTGCCGTGAAAGCGCAAGCCTGAGTTTTCTTGGCATTGAACTCAACCAAGTTCCTGGTACCCCATTCAGAAATGTGGTCCAAAGACTGATTGAGCTCAATGACAAGATTTTCCCGTTTCTCTTTGGTTACTGCCTGCCCAGCCGCTGCTTGTCCAAGATACCCTGCAAGCACTGTACTGTCGTCTGCATAGCAATGAATATTCCCAAGAGGAATTAAGTCATTGATATGCAGCAGAAAGAGAGTGGGGGATAGGACGGAGCCCTGGGGAACGCCGGCATTCACTGACATGAACCGCGAACTGCTACCATCCGTAAGGACACGAATTCTACGCTCATGCAGGAAGTCAGCTACCCAAGAACAGAACTGGGCTGGCAGACCGTATGCCGGAAGCTTGGAGAGAAGGCTTTTGTGCCAGACCCTGTCGAACGCCTTGGCAATGTCAAGGCTGATAGCCAACGATTCGTCACGCTTGTCGATAGCCTCACCCCAGATATGAGTTTAGTACGCTAGAAGATCACCCGTCGATCGTTTCGGTCTAAATCCATATTGATGATCATTAATCAGGGAGTGATCCTCTAGGTAGCGGGTCAGTTGGTTATTAAGGACCTTTTCTAGAACTTTACATAAAACTGAGGTGACTGCTATTGGCCGGTAGTTTGCCGGGTCTGAGCGATCCCCTTTTTTGGGCACCGGTTGCACGTTAGCATATCTCCAAGTCTCCGGCACACGCCCCAAAGAATACGAGCATTGGTACAAGCGCGTGAGCACGGGAGACAACTCCGCTGCACATTTTTTAAGTACTACTGCTGGGATGCCATCAGGTCCACTAGCTTTCCGGACGTCGAGTGATTGCAATTCGGCACGAACCTCACGCTGCCTGATTTTAATATCAGGCATCGTTGTGCCACAGTGAGGTAATGATGGTGGCAGTGCATTGCAATCATCGATTCGGGAGTTAGCCGCAAAGAGTTTTGCCAGTAAATCAGCTTTCTCCTGCGGCTTATGAGCTAGTGTTCCGTCTGGGCATCTCAGAGGTGGCAGCGAGGGCTGGCAGAAGTTTTTTTGCACGGCCTTGGCCAAACGCCAGTAGCTACGGGAGCCCGCAGGATGCGTTATAAGTTCCTGGCTAACACGTGCAACACGCTGGGCATCCGCTCTGATGTAAGCCTTCTTACAGGCCTTGGAAGCAGAATTGTAGGCTGCTTTGAGTGAATCGACCCCGGGATCCTTGAGAGCGCGGCCTCTGATCCAATCACGACATGCCGCTTGCTTACGCGAAGCAGCTTCAGCACAGTCGTGATTGAACCAGAGGTTACGTGTGCCCTTACTGATGAGATCAGAATGAGGAATATAGTATTCCATACCCATTATAATCTCCTCAGTAATGGCAACGGCACTGGCCGATAGGTCCCTGTCACTGAAGCAGCGCTGCTTCCAAGGGACGGACGCAAAGTAATCGCGCATACCGTCCCAATCTGCCGACCCATAATGCCAGATACGGCGCTTGGCCACTGCTGGACGCGGAGGCTTGGCCTGTGGTGCTTTGGCAGATATCAGGCAGTGGTCGGACGAGCCCAGGGGGGCTCTTACCACAACCTGATAGCCCTGTGGATGGGTCGTGAGCAGAAGGTCCAGTAAAGAAGGCGCTTGACTTGGAATATCTGGGATCCTGGTGGGCTGATCAACCAGTTGCTTCAAGTCATGCGTGAGAGCGAATGTGTGAGCAAAGATCCCTGCATGGTCAGTTTTGGAAGAACTTAACCACAAATTGTGGTGAGCATTAAAGTACCCCAAAAACACCAATTCTGCATTGGGAAATTGTTCCTGCGCGTCATCTGCTGCCCGACTAAGGTGCTCAAAAAGTCGAGTTGTCTCAACATCGCCGGTGTGGGATCTGTAGAGGCACACGTAGACTCTGGCCAGGGGGCCAGAGTCGACGTGTACCCCCAGCATGGAGAAGGAGGGATCTTCCAAGCAGCGGAGACGGCGACAACAAACATCCGCCCGAACATACAGGCATACACCGGCTTTCAATGCTGAACAACAATGCTGGCCGTGCCGTCTCGAGATGGTGGTGGACAGCGTTGAGGTTAGAGTGGAGTCCGCGTATGTTGCAGAACTCGACCTCAAACAGCGTTGAAGGCGTGGGGGTGTGCACCGCTGTACGTCCAAACTTTGCTATTGAGGCTGCCATGGTGGAAGTGAAAAAAAAAGAGACGCGAAAACGAGCGGACGCCGTCGCGAAGAGTCCGGGCAAATAAGGGAGGTTTGTTTTCCCGATTGACTGCCTGCAGAGGAGATGCGCCGACCCGCCGGACGGAAGGGCCCCCGCACCCCCCCCGGGAGTGGCCGCCGGGACCCCACGCCCCGGTCACCAACCGGCACGACGGTCCACCCCGAGATTATGCGTGACATGATGGGACAGCCTCGCGAACTGGTTAGGAACGCTTGGGCCCCTGTACTGTGCCACGGGCGGCCAGCGGGACAGCCGTTTCTACGGGTCTCCCTGGCCGACGGGTCGATGCAGTCCTCCCGGCATCGGTTCCACGGATGCCTCCCCTGGACCGAATCCTTCGCGACAACTTCCACTTGAGCTCTGGTTGTACGCTGGCTGACCCCGAAACGCGCGAGAAGCACTTCACGGGTTTTTCACCATGCGCACGGTGGTAACAAACCAGGCGGGTGTTAGGCACCCTACCACCAGAAGAGCGGATGGAAGCTCCGACATCCCTTAGTCGCTTCGTACGACACCCACGGGAAGAAAAGGGGCGGTGAGTTGTATTCTTTCTCCGTCACCGCACGGAAGACCGAAACTTTTAAATGCAAGCAACAAGAAGGCTGAAGTAAAAGAACTATTTTGTATTTTTTTCCTGTTACAGACACTACTTGCCTGGGTTTAACTCAATTTTCGTTAGATTGTTTCATCTCAAACGAAATTGACATACAAGATATGCGTGGTCAAGGTTACGATAATGGTGCAGACATGAAAGTGAAAAATGTAGGTTGTCAAAAACGAATTTTAGATATAAACCCGCGCGCATTTTATGTACCATGTGCGGCAAATAGCCTACATTTGGTAGTGAATGGCGCTGCTAAAAGTTCATTAGAAATAGTAAATTTCTTTTCAATTGTGCAAGCAAAATATGTTTTTTTTCTGCGTCAACAGCACGGTGGCAGATACTTGCTAAATAAGTACCAACTTTAAGTTTAAAACCACTTTCAAATACTCGATGGCAGAGCAGGGTTGAAGCAGTAAAAGCTCTACGTTTTGAAATGGGAAAAGTGTATGATGCCTTGTTTACCATATATTCCGATAGGAGCAAAAATGCGGAGTCAAGAAATATGGCATATTTATTACTGGGAAAAATTAAGTCGCTTAAATTCATTTGCTCTCTCTGCTTATTTGGTTTGAAATTCAATAGCAGAATTTCCCACACCTGCACGCCCTCGCGCTCGTAAAAGGGTTTTTAATTATGAGGCGGAGGATCAACCGATCATAGACGCGAAAACACATTTTAAGGTAAATTTTTACTACTATTTATTAGACACCGCAATTAGTAAGTTCGACGAACGGTTCGAACTTCTCAATCAAATAATGTAGTTTTTTTATTTCTTCAAAAATTGACACACTGGAAGGATTTGGACTCGGATACAAAAAAAGCACATTGTTCTAATTTAGAAAATTAACTTTGCGAAGCTGGCTCTGTGATTACCCATGTTTATTGATGATTCCACTACGCCGTTGGATATTTTAAATTACTTGTATACGAATAAATTGATTTCAGGATTCCCAAATCTGTCCACAGCCCTGAGGATTTACCTCACACTTCCAGTCACGGTAGCACACAGAGAAAGGTCATTTTCTAAACTAAAAATATTTAAAAACTATATAAGATCAATATTGTCTCTACTGTAACTGTTTTGCCTTATATTTGTATTTTATTCTTGTTATTTTTGTTACTGTTGTGCATTAAAATGTTATTATCTTATTGTCGCTAAAAAGATTGACAAATTTATCGTTAATAAGTATTAAATATGAAATGAAAATTTAAGCCACTGACTTATTTTTGTTAAAGATTTCGCTAATGCAAAAGCACGAAAAGTATTTTTTTTTTGTAAAAACGTTTGTTTGTGTGTACGAGCGTCCTGTAAGATATTATAGTTTTAAATTAAAAGAACTACAACGTTGTGATTTTTACCCGACTGCACAATGCAAAAGCGCGAAGCGCGACGCGCAGACAGGGTATATTTGTATGTTTGTTCATTGTTTATTTCCCATTATTGAAAAATGTTATGTATTCATGAATATGTAATGGGTCCCGACTGTTAAAGTAGCTTTGTTCCTTATAAACAGAATTATAGACTACAGGACTTGTTTTTTTCTTTTCAGTTTTTATTTGAAGTATAATTAAGCAGTCGGGTTTTTGATTTTTTAAATTTACCATTTTTTCATTGTTGTAATTTGCACCCGAATTTTTTATGAAAATATAACTGTAAGTATTCCATTTTCACCCCGCTCCTACTAGGGGGCGCCATGGTACTGGTGGCACATTGGCGTCAAAAGGGCTAGAGCCGCCTCTAGGGGTGGGGCCGCAAAAACACACTTACTAACGGTGGAGAGATCTCAGCGCATATTGCTTAGTTGCTGCAGGAATCCCATATCGCTATCCTGCTGTAGAGTTATACAAAGTCTGGAAGATTCTCTCTGTACGACAGATATTCGTTCTGAAAACCGTACTTCAAAAACATAACCAATTAACATATGACCCCAAATTCGAACAGAGGGACGCAAAAATCAAGTCTACCCTTTGCCTACTCAGAAAACCTCCTTTGCACAAAACTTCTTCCAGTTTCTAGGCCCATTCCTCTACAACCGAATAAATCATATACTCCATATTTATTCTCGTCATAAAACCCACTGCGAAACTATCGTCCGCGATTATCTATTGACGCTTGACTATGATACTACTGAATACCTATTATGCACTCTAAGGTAAACCTACAAATGTGATGCGTAGTTTTCAAATGAGATTTTAATTTCACCTCTGCAACTGTTGAAACTAATCATTCACACACGACTGCACATACACAAACATACCGGTATCTGTCCAGCTAAATCTGAACCAATGGTCGAAAAGAAATAATTAAACAAATTACAGATTTCTTTACCTTCAGTTATAGTAAGTTCGGTATCCGATATTAATTTTGAGGGAGCACTACCTGCCTTGATTTTGTTTGAAGCTTAGTTGTTTATTAGTTCCCACATTTTCTTCGGATCTGATTGATTTTTGTGAAACAATGAGAGATAATAGTCGTCTTTTCGTATCTTGATAAGGGTCTTCACTTGTCTTTGTAGCTGAATAAAGTTTTTCTTGATTTTTTCATCTCTAGGGGTCATTACTGCTTGTTGCCATAAGATATTGCGTGAATTAATTAAGTCAATAATATCTTTCGATACCCAGTCTTCTTGGGGTGGGTTCACGTATTTTGTTTTTTCCACTTTATTCTTATGTAGATCCATAAATAATGGTTCCCATCATCTGACAATTCCTCAGTCACTTCATATTTTATACTGTTGTGAATATAAATAGACACGCCACCGCCCTCACGATCTTGCCTATAGTTGTATACATGTGCATAGTTTGGTAATCTATATAAGTTTGCATCACTTTCCGACTGAATCCATGTCTCGGTAAATATCAGTATATGTATAGTTGTCGGTATTGCCTCCAATATGCATTTTATTTCATCGAATTTGTTGCGAATGCTACGCGAGTTAGCATAAAAAAATCGTAAAGACGGGGGTATAAAAGTAATGTCCGCATACGTTTCTGCTAAATGGTGGCTTAATCTATTTATTTTATTACAACATTTTTCATTTTGTACTGCCGCTTCTACATGTTTTTTGGTTGTTTTCATTAGTTGTGATTGTTGGTATGTTGGTATTCCTTTTTTATATTTAATTATAAGGTTTTTTTCACCATTATCCAATCGTTGCTGCAACTCTTGTTTTAAATTAAGTAAAAATCGCCTCTGTTTCGGAGTTAGATCGGAGTACATTTGTATATTTGTAGGCAGTTTTATTGTATTTCGCAGTAAATATTTTGTTGGTCCAGAACTGGCAAAGCAGACTTTTAAAGGTCGGTTTTTATCTGGCACATATTTACCCAACCTTATTGTTTTAATTGGTTTTGGACAATCTTTGTACAATAATGATATTAGTTAGATAACTACCTCTTCGTCGTAAATTCGTCTCGAGTTGGAATTTTTATCATTTTTTTCCGTTACACCGACCGTTATTATTTTTATTTTTAGAAACTGGATTATTTTCTAGCTTCCTCTTAGATAGAATAGATTGTCTTTGATTATTGTTATTATTTATTTGTTTTCTTCTATTCAATGCTGTTGTAACAACAATGTATACATTTCAACTGTCCAAGGTATTGTACCATCCGTGGAAGTCTTGCTATCAGTGATTGGGCCTGGTGACCTGAAGCACAGGTTTCTATTGCTGAAACCTATTTCAGGCACCAGTTCATCCCAAATAGAGGAGCTACAACACTGTAATTGCTATACAAGACTAACTATGAATCTCTGTTGTGATGGAAAATAAATAAATTTTTAATTTCATTTGATTTTGACAATTTATTTATCTGGATGATTGGAGAAACAAGGTCGAATACGTTCCTCCAGTTATGCAGTGTTACCGATGTCTGGAGTTAAACCATTCAGCCAAGGTCTGTCGTAATGACCAGGTATGTTCCAAGTGCTCAGGTGATCACAGCTTCAGAGACTGATTCAGAAGTTCTGAATGCAGTAACTGCGGCGGGGATCATCTGGCTGTTTCTAGGTCATGCATGCCCAATAAAATAGCCAAAGTAGATAACAAAAAGAAAAGTTTCGTTTAAAAATCCGCTGTTAACGATTTCCTGCCCTTCCTTTCACTAATATCTCAACTAACAAGTTAGTTAATTCAAATAAAGATACAGATATTATGTTTTCCATTATTAAAACACTAGTGGCTTTGAGTAATACAAATACAATTAAAACAACAAAAACCATGAAAGAAGTTTTTATTGAACACTGGAAATCCTAAAAGAAACAACCACAATGCAATTTAAAAAAAAACAGCTTAATATTCAAAGTATAATATGTAAAAAACTCCTGGTGATCAGTTTCCTACAATATCATGACATTGATGTATTGTTGTTAAATGAGACTTGGCTAAAAAAGACATCTTCAATTAGATTTCGAGGCTACAGTTTGATCTATAATAATGCCAAAAACAGTCGTGGTGGTGTAGACATCTTATTAAAAGACATATTAAAATTCAGCCAAATCTCTATTCCTATAAAGAGGAGTCAATGTACAGCTCTATGTCTTTTTACTGATAGGGGGGGGGTCTCATCTCCATTTTATGCTCGTATTGTCCTCGTATGAAAGAAGATTTACTAGCTGTTACCCGCGGCTACGCTCGCGTGGTTTTCCTATTTGAGGCTATCATTCTCTTTTGACATAGTGAGTAAAAAAGTAGCTTTCTATTAAAATTACGGCGCTTTTCTGCTTGAAGACGTACATTTAAATCTCTGCGCACCTGTGCTTGTTCAGGTGTTTCGAATGACCTCAAAAAAGCTTGTCGTTCTGCTTGCTCATCAAGTCTTTGCTGAGTTTCAGCAGGTGTTTCTGCAGCTCTTAAAGCAGTTTGACGCCCCGCTTGTTCAAGTAGTCTTTGTTGAGACTGAATATCCGATTCAGCGGCTCTCAAATGAGCCTGCCGCTCTGTCTGCTCCTGAAGTCTTCTCTGTGTCTGCGACAGTGATTCTAAGGCCCTCAAATTCGCTTGACGTTCAGACTGTTCAAGACACCTTTCCTGTGTCTGCGATTGAGATTCTGAGGCCCTCAAAGCAGTTTGGCGATCTGCCTGTTCTTGCCTTCTCAGTTCAATTTCTTCAAGAGATTCTTGCGACCTAGTTAATCTCTTTGCTCGTGCTTGAGAGGATCCATACTTATATACTTATAATATATTATATATATATATATATATATATATATATATATATATATATATATATATATATATATATATATATATATATTATTTTATATTATAAATGGGAAAGTGTGTTTGTTTGTTTGTTTGTCTTCTCTTCACGCCTAAACCGCTGAACCGATTGTGAGGAAATTTGGTATATGTATAGCTTGAACTTATGAGACTGCTATAGGCTACTTTTTTTAATTGATGTATTCGAATTTACATAATTTTCAATTAAATTAATCATTTTCATGGTTGGTCCCGATAGAGATGGCGCTACTGTCACGAAGACAGATTAAATTTGAAATGTGGAAGTTGCTATCTTAATACGAGATGGCACCACTCGTGTTCAATACCGAGTATTTTGTGTTAGTGTTTCATTTATTAAATCGAGGTAATTTTACGCAATTTCTTTCTAATCTCATTTTTAAAATTAAATCTAGCAAATACTACTCTAAATTTATAATATAAAAATATCATTTTCGAGTGACTTTTTAATTTAGATTTGCGTTTGCGCGTCATTATTACGGTGAAGGTATCTGATTTTTTTTTATTGAAAAAAAATTACCTATTTTAGTTACAACAGTATAAAAATGTTTTGTAAGCACCAAATCAACTTGTTTATAGTAGGTAGGTATTTAAAATCCAAAAAAAAGCGAATAATTATCCATTCGCCTATTTTCACAAAAACCCAAGATCAATGTGTTAAGTTAATCGTCAAAACGATTGCTTTTTTAATATTCCTTTTTGTTTTGTGTGTATGTGTGGGGTTGTGCGATGGCGAAAAGCAGTAGCTGGAATTAATCCGACCAATTCCTCAGAAAACTCCCCGTGATATAGCGGTAGAAGATACAGAGCGAAGTTACATGCCTACGCAGAGCTAAAGGATCAAGCTGAAAGGTTCTGGTCGTCGACGATTTGAGCTCTCGGCGCTGGATGCGTTCCAGTCCTGAGAAGAACAATGTTGCAATTGGTGGGCCTATGTGAAGTACCTTCTCGATCTATTGAGCACACCAAGCTTGTTATGGGCCAATTAGGCCTTGCCCTTTAAATGATCCCATAACTGGACCTCGTTCGATATGTCAACGCCAAGAATTCCAATACCATATAGTTGAGGCAGTTAGAGATCTTAGAGAGAATACGACAAATGGATATTTTTTCTCGTTAATCCCGCATACCTGTGTTTTTGTTTAAGGAAGTCTCAACTTCAGACATTTTTTATTCTATTCTATAATTAATCTGAACATGTTTTCTATACAATAAAAAAATAATATCACAACTTTCTCAAAAAGGTTTTTTTTAGTTCAAAATATATATGACACCCTTTATTATAAAAAACGCCGCCCTTGCGGCGTATTCTTCTAGATTTTCCGTACTTTTATAATTAATTTTCAGCTGTGAGGCGCGTGGCCCTTTGCACCGCGTGGCCGTGGGCGGTGGCTCACACCGGTTTCGATTGATCGAAGGGCACAGCCGCAGAAGCATTCCCTATGGATGGAATAGGGAGATTTGGCACAGGAGCCACCAAGCGGGCCAAGTGTTGATTAGTAGGTACTAAAAACTGAAGATGCAGTCGGGACCAACAGTTTAACATGGCTTGCGAGGCACCGCGGAGCTCGAGGTAATAAAATTTTGGTCACCCATCCGATGACCGGCCATTGCGCAAGTAGTTTAACTTGTACGATCGCAGACCAACCACGCTCACTACTTGCGCTATTGAGCTCCTCAATGTTATACAATTATATGTACTAGTATCTAAGTTAGAAGTAACTATACTTAGTTACTTACCTATAGGTAGGTATAATCTGTCCTTATTAAGTTGCTATAGTAACCGGGTACATACAAACATCTTTATTTTACTTCGATGTGAAAAGTTTGGATTAAAAAGTTGATAATTTAAAAATACATAACAATGTCTTTATTCAAAGTAAAGCAATGGTGGTCAAACAATAAATTACAAGAAACCACATGCAATATTGGTACTCAATGTACAGGATGTCTTAGGGTTGATAAATTTAACTCTTATACAGACAGTGATTGTATTATTATTGCGGAAGAGTTTTACTTGAAGATTTATAAGCCAACACCTAATCAATTGGTATCGGATATATTATTAGAAACTCAAGTGAATGATGTCATCTTACAAATTGAAATTGGAAAATTTACTGCGTGAGTATAGATAGCAATCAAAGATTACTTAAAAGCCGCTCTTCTTAAAAAGTGAAAATTTTGTAAACCCTACCCAAAAATAATCTTAAAAGTGAAATAAGTACTAACTAGTGATATAATAACTTCGTTGTAAAATTAAAAGGTATCGGCCTTTTAACTTTATTATAACCACTTAGTAATAGTTAGACATAGACATCGTCCAGTCGGAGGACTGATACACAGACACCACTCATTATCCCATCAGGGGTTTAAAATTGAGTAGGTAGGTATGTAATATATGTAGGTTTAAAATTATTTGGGTTTTCGGTAAAACATTGTTAAAGTTTTATAAAAAATAAGATTTTTACACAAATTAGCGAGTATTGTGCTTTAATTACGAAAAACAAACAAAAGGCTCTAAAATTAAGAAAATTGGATTATTTCTAGAAAGAGACTCCGGGGCGCATGCCAGTAACGGCTTTTTCTATTGCCACCTCTCGCAGCTTGCCGCCCCGGATCATGACCTTTTTGGGCCTAAGAACGCCCCTGTAGACTATGGCGATTCTTACATTGTCTCGCACTACGCTGCGGGGTGTGTGGCGACCGGAGCGATGCGCCTGGTTGCTTGAGTGCAGAAGCGTATTAGGTATCAGCGGTGGTTATCGGTGTTCGGGTAATATCTATGATGCGTGAAATTAAAATAAATTTTAAACAAAAATTAAAGTATTGTCGGGACAATCAGCTGAAAATTAGAATGGATTCAAAAGAATCCATGTGAATAAGAGTGCAAAAGCACAATATCACGTAAATAAAGACTTTCGTAAATTTTGGAAGAATACAAATAAAATGAAAGCAAAGCCGAGTGTCCCGATGTGCGTGGCTGGTGAACATGAACGCTTAAAAATTGCTAAAGCATTCCAGCGTCAGTCCAAAGTTAAGTCTTCACTTCCCTATTCGGGGGCGGGACGATATGGGGGCGAAGGCCGGTAACCTGTCAGTTAGATTTACTTCAAAACAAGTGACCTCTGTAATAAAATGTTAAGGGGAAAATCTCCCGGACGTGACGGTCTGAGCGTTGAACATTTGAAACATGCTAGAGTGAATTTACCTAGAATTTAGTAGTTAGCATTGTTCTTTCATCTAAGTATTAGTACCTGACCAACTTATGTACACACTGGTGGATCCGATAACTAAAAATAAAATAAGCGAAGTTTTGGAGCTCCAGAATTATAGGCCAATTTCACTAGCTACTGTGGTCAGCCAAGGTGGTCGACTCTCTGCTTGATGTCATTTTGAGCAAACATATTTATCCACTGCGTGCTGTTCAGTCTCAAACAGACCGATACTACACTTACCGTAAAACACCTATTTTCTGCTGTTTTTTTAGATCTATCGAAAGCTTTCGATTTTGTATCATGTCAAACATTATGGAAAAATTTTGAGCCCGAAACAAGCATACCGCCTAAGATATATTCTGTATTTAAGTAAGTGGGAACCAAATGAAGTGTTAAATGGGCAGGCGTATGCTCTGAAGCGTATATGTTGGAATGTGGGGATTGAGCTCACCCAAGCTTTTCAACCTGTACATGAATAGGTTGATTGAGGAGCTGAGTAACACTGGTGTTGGTCGTCACATAGGTGGTGTATGCATTAATAACAATATACATTACGTAGCTGATATGGGTGTTGCTACGCCCCTTAATTGGAGCGTTCCGCAGGCTGCTGCGTATATGCGAAAAGTATGTAGCGGATCATGGGCTCAGGTTTAATTCAACGAAGAGCGAGCCTATGGTATTTAAAGCGAAAAATAAGTGTTATGATTCAGATCCGTCTGTTACACTCTGTGGCTCCTCGTTGACTCGTGTCACTAAATTTAAATACCTGGGACACTGCATCGTGTGAATGGATTGTATGACAGATATAAGAGATATATGGAGAGCGCAGATTCGCAAGGTGTAGTGAGCAAGCTAAACTAATCTTTTCGAGTAGTGTTGAAAATTTACCTCGAAAGTTTCCTTTTCGATGGTATGTTTCGCGAAAGTTTCCAAGTTTTTTACTTAAATTCGTATACCCTGCACTTAAAAAAATATAAGACCACTCACAAACATACTAATTTCTATGTACCTAACTTGTTTTCGAATAATTCTATAGTATAAATACCTATACGTTCGTTTTACGTTTTGGGATGCTTTTTTGGTACATCCTTTAGTCTTTTTTACGTATTTTAAGTAGAAAGGTATCTACTATCTAATACGGAGGTCTCTAGCTGGCAGCGTAAAACGTCGGGAAACTTACCATGGAAATGGAAACTACTTCGTGGCACTCACCACTAACAATTATAACTTTTTTTAAATCTAATAAGGACCGAAGTTATTGATTCTTATAATTAAAATACTGCCATATAATCATACCTTTTTTTTAAAAAGCATCTGAAAGAAATTGCATTACGTTCGCTGCCTTCGTAACGTAAGTCATCTCTCTATCCTTATCCCTGCATCGGCTGCATCCCTCCTCGCTCTCGGCGTAACCTGTCACGCGAGCTGGCAACGTCGCGCGCGTAAATAATATACTTATTATGACCGCACACAAAAAAGAAAAAAAAACAAACTGCAAATAAATACAAATGCATACGAATTGCACAAATCTACAATTACAAACAAAGCCCAGCCAGCCCCACACACTTCGTTTCACCACCATTTTTTAGCTTGTGTGACAGAGTATGGTCGCTTAAATTCGCTAGGAGTTTAATATAAAGAAGACAAAAGCGTTTAAAATAAGCTGCTGTTGCACATTGGTAGGTAAAATGATTATTTTTTAAAGTGACTTAAATTACCTAATTTTGGTAAGTTTCACGAAGCTTACCGGTAAGTTACCTCGAATTTCGTTTCTTACCGAATCCTTCGGAAATTTTCAACTCTTACTTCAGAGCATACTGTCAAACATTGTATAGGTACGTGAAGTCTGTGCGTAAACTTCACGCAGCGTCCATACAGCGCTCTGCGTGTGCTGGACATAGGATACAGAATGCTGTTCGGTTTGCCTAGGTACAGTGCAGCGCGTCAACGATGTTTGCTGAGGCGAGGCTTGACTGTTTCTACACCCTGGTGAGAAAGCGTTGTGCGTACCTGCTAAATCGTTTCCGTGATAGTTCGAACACCATCCTAAACGTGTTGTTTCAACGATGGGATTCGCCGCTGGTGGAGCGATGGTTGCGGTTACATGCACCTGTATATCAGGACCGACCCAGACAATAAATATTTGATTATTCATGTTAATGCATTTACTAACATAGTTTTAAGTAATAATTGTTACCAACAGATATGGAATTGTAATACTGAAATAAATAATTATTGGCTAGTACTTATGTATTCACATGCTTTCATGCAATTGTACAATGTGCCTAACAAGTTTACGCTTCGCGTCAACGTGAAACTTGACTAGCTAAACATTTTTCTACTGGAACTGAGGCTCAATTTATACTACCGCGGAATGGAATGGAAAAGAATTTTAGCAACGACATTTTGCAAAGCATATTGTACTTTATGTCAATTGCAAAACATACAAATTAAGTACGAGCCAAAAACTAGGGGAATTATCGAGAATGCAGGAGGATCCCATGGAAGATGCGCGATCATTTATGTTGGCTAATTTATAGGCTACTTAGGAATAGTAGATAATTGCTTAGTTATAATTTTATTTTAGGGGAACTACAGACCGCCAGATTATCGTCTTACATCCATTAAAATATGTCGTTTATCAACTCGAAAAGAAAGAAGGACTCATCGATGCAGGTTGGTACTTACCGAAACCAAAATTATGAATACTTAAACGATGACAGCTTTTATGTTGAGGATATCCTGAAACTACGTGTACGGTATTATCACAGTATATATAAATATAGAAACAGGATGACAGGAAAACTCGACTTATTCCTTGAAAGGGGTTGTACTCGAGGTCATTAGTAATAAATAAAGTCCAGTGAACTAGGGGTCAAAACTGGAAGGTTACCCAGTTGTGACGGTTCTTAGATTTTTTCTGACTTGCTGCCAAAAATCATTAATTGTGCATTAACTATTCCACTCTAAACAATGAATTGATACTTTACTGAAAACTGAAAATGTTGTGATCATTAAAAAAACGCTTGCCTAAAACTTACACGATCTCAGAAATAAAAGGACTTTAGTAACATTTTTTTTTCTCGAAGTTCCCTGTAAATAATTGGAAATTAACCGTATCGAACTTGGTGTAAAAATTAGTAAAATGACAGCTTTCGAACAAGGTACAAAAGTTATTAATTTTTTCATAAGTATATTTGTATGAAAATAGACTACCTATATTCGTGTCAATGAGAGAAATGCACGTGATGGATGAGACATTACTTCTTTGTTGTCTGTATCGAAAAGTATTACTATCTATTTATTTCAGGCGATCAGAACATATTGAAAACTACGTTAAAACATACGTTCACTAGAAGGGCTTACAGTTTATCTTGTGGTCCATTTGGTAATATAAAAACTAGAGATCTAATATGCGTTCAAGGCTTAGATGGCAGTCTTAGTTTCTTCGATCAAGAAACGTTCTTGTTTATGTGCATATTTGACGATGTGATAATCCCAGGGCCAATTTGTTACATTGCTAGTTGCGACTCATTTGTAATCAGTAAATCAACTTGGATATTAGAGATCTACAGGTATGTATTTAAATAATAAACGATTGTTGTCTTAGAAAATATAAAAAATATTACATTATGGATATTCTACACTTTATAATGATAATAAATTAAAATATTTCAGTTATCAACAATTAAGAGAATTCAGCGAAGTAAATTTGCGACAAAATAAAAAAAATATACCACAATGGATTTACAATGCTGGAGAGGAAATTTCATCAGTCCAAGTAATACAGGTACTTTCAAAGTAATACCATACCAGAATAGAGTATAAAAAATATTAAAAATGTGATTTGACTTTATATTGTCAGGTTCAGCTTACCCAAGTACTTAGCTACTTATGTTTTTAAATTATTCGCGATTCATAAGAAAACGTTAATTTACAGACTAGTACAAACTTTTCCAGTATAGTGGCACTTGGCGAGAGGTACCTTTATTGTTTTCAAGACAACGGTTTAATGAAATACATGTTGAAATTCGAGTATATGCCTGTCTGTGTCTGCGCTTACCTTATTGGTTGGTTCTATGGTAAGCATCACAAGAACGTCTTTTGGAGATCTTGAAATGATAATGTACTAGCTCGTTTTCTACATTGACCTACCGACCGAGAACGAAGCTCAAGCAAAAGTTCAGAGATGGCATAGACAAACATGCTAGCGATTCAGCTTTAAAAAGGCGCATTTTTGTATTTTTATTACATAATATGAATATTAAAATGTTTCAATATATTGTTGCAGAGCCTACATCCCGATTGTTAGTAATGGTAGCATCAGATGACGCAAAATTATACATTTACGAAAGCACGACGTTGCTATGGTCGTGTGACCTTCTGGATCCACCCATAGCGTTAACAAGGTGTTTTCTGAAATCATTACCAGGAGGTATAGTGACGCTGTCAGCTAAAGGCGTCGTTACTGTTAGTTACTTAGGTACTGAACCTGACCTTAATTCGAACGCGCCTCCGATGATAAATGAAACAATAGACCCAGAAGAAGTACAAGCTGTACTAGAAAAGGTTGAGGAGGAACTACAATCAATCTTAGAAACAAAAGGAGGTATATAAAACTTTTTTTTTTTTTTTTATAAAAGTACTAAGTACCTATTTAAATACTAAGTCACATGAATGATACTCGTGTTTTTTTTACAGAAGTAGGTAATTATAACCTTGGAGTTGCTCAGTCGATAAAAATAAAAGCTGAAGTAGGAAAACCCACTCAAAACTTATATCAAGAATATCCCAATGATAGCGAAGAAGCACTACATTTAATAATGTGTCCTGTGATAGTGACGCTCTCTTGTGAAGACCCAAATATAATCGAAAACATTCAAATCACATACGCGTGCCATCCCCCGTTTGCATGCTCAGAATCAGTGATATCTTTAGATGGAATGAACGGAACAGAAATAGTTGAATCTCAAGTTTTTCTTACAAGCGACACTGATATTGTTGATACTTATATTGATATTACATTAACGATTACCGATAATATACGAAAAATTATAGTTTTGGAAAAGAAAGTTTCATTGCCCGTAAGTCTGTATTGTATTCCGGCGACTCTTGATACAATCAAAAATATAAAATTGAAAATCAATACGAATCTGACCGAAATAAATTTTGGTAGAATTTTTTCAGGTGAGTCAAACGATTTAGGGTGCTTCCGCTGTGAGTGTGATATTAAAACGAATTATCATTTACTGCACTATTCTTGCAACGAGGAAATTGTTTATAGGTCTGCAGAAGACCGACACTAAACTCTAAAATCAAAAGCGCCCTAAAATCTATTGTTTGTTTAGTTTTCTACAAGTTTTTTATCTGCTGAAGTTAAGAATCTTCAGGGTGTGTCATCATGATAGGAGAATCTATTCATTCCACTCTTTTTCTCTTTAAGATTTCTCGGAAGAAGATTTATTTACTTTAGGAAACTCTCCAGAGAGGGTCACATTAGCATATAGACCAACGAAGAAGACTGTCACAATCATAGCCCATGATGGATATTGTACTTTAGAAGCGGATAATTTCCCAGAAATGACTGTAGTATTAGAACATTTTATATCAAAACTATCTGATTACGCCACTAGAATGGATAAAAAAGATTTCAAATATGAAATCAACTGGAGCAAAGATCTGTTTAAACAAATTACCTTTAAATTTTTGAAAAGCGTGGAAATACACGCTAAGCACAGAATTAAATTAAAAGGTTTAGAAGTAAGTGTAAATAGTGAATTGATTTTTAATATCTATAAATGAAATTTTTAATAATGAAGTAATATCATGTATTTTCACAGGACGGATTAAACATGCTTCAAAGACAATTCACTTTGGTACAAAAAAGACTGTTAGTTCAATACGGATCGTTACCGCCTGGTGATTGTGAATCATTAGAATTTCTCATGCGGGATACACATACAAGACTGGTTAAATGTGCTCATCAAATCGTACAGTGTAAAGAAGATATATGCAGGTATTTTAACGTGATAAACAATACTATGTAGATTACAAATCGACAGTGGAAAAACTAAATCGCTTATACGCCACTTTGGTGCTGCTTATAAATTGTTAAGACACATTTCACACTTTGTTATTTACAGGGCTGGATGCACTTTGGTAGCCATGGGGCGTTTATTAATCTACATTTTCAAACAATCTTCATTGGAGTCGTTTAAAATGAAACTGGTAGAGGAGACACTTTGCTTAAACTCGCTTTATGATGATTACCAGGTAAGAATTTAAAGGGTTATTAAAAGGCAATACTTATAGTATCTCGATTGTACTCGGTGAATTACCGCAAAGCTATTAAATCAGTATCTGAAAACTATAGTCAGACGACAATGTTCTACAAGCATTAAGGTGTTGTAGGTAATATATCTGAGTTTACGCTCAATAATACTAGGAAATTATGAACTGTGGAAACAGATGATAATTACCACGTAATCCAATCACAGAATGAAAAATTCAAAAGATCAACTCGTAAATGTTTCTCTGTAGAAAATTGTCTTATGAAAACTTTAAATACCATATTAAGCAAATTAATTTCAGGATTGGGAAGAGGCAGTCTCCCAATCATTATCATACATAATGAACAACGTGTTTAAAAATACGGAAAAGGATAGAGAAAAACTAGCGCCAGTCACCGAGCAAGGAGTACTCTCGCACATAAACCTGAAGAGATTCCTGAAACAAATCAGGATACTATTGGAAAAGTTGTTTTTAGAAGCATACGGCGAAGAATCTGAACCACCGCACCAGACCAACAGTAGGGGAAATCAAATAATCCGTATTGAAGAGTTTGTCGACGTTATATAAATAAGTTTTTGTTAAACTCATCTTTTATGTTACTAAGAAAATAGCCTATTATGTATTAAATAAATCGAATACTCATGCTATTATCTATGTAAAAACTTTCTTAAAATAAGGCTTAATGTTTATGTGGATACATTAGAGCCCTGTAGGTACAGTCGCGGTCAGAAAATGTTCACCACCTTAAGGATCATAATTGCATGCACACATTTAGGACACAAGTTCTAAATGTCTATTTCATAATAATTTGATTGACCATTGATTATCTTTTTTCTAATGATATGACAATCATATCATATCATATTTTTTTGTAAATTGGGTGGCAAACAAGCATTTGCTGTGCGTGCAGGGCCTGATTTACCCATAGGCTAATAAGGCTTGAGCCTAGGGCGCCAGGACCAAGGGGGCTGCAGGCGGGCGCAGCGCTGAGCTGAGCTGAGACCATGCAGCAAAAACAAAGGGCACATACTGTATCTCGTTTACACTAAGAGACACGAAGCCGGTGATAGGAGGCCGGGGGGAGGTGCAGCATGTCAACAGCGCCAACATGACGAGTAGCGAAACTAAAATCAAGGTAATGGACAATAAATCTGCAAAATTTGGCCACTAGGGGCGCTGTAATCGCTTGACCCAATACTTCTATCAAATACATACCTGGGGCATTCCACGCGAAGCGGACAGGTAAAAAAACTCGATGTTTCCGATTTTAGTAATATTTGAGTATGTTCTATTTATACTTACTATTGATACGTGTACCAAATATTTTTGTGATATAATGACTAGTTAAAGAGTAATGGGACTTTGAAGTTTTCGACAACCGGTTGGCATGCAGTACTTCAAAGCCGATTATGGAGTCATAAAATTATATATTAAAATAACTAAACCACTGGATTTTTTACTTTATTTACTGGGCTTTTTAACTGTGTTTTTGGAAAAGCAAAAAAAAATTTTTTTCGTAAAAAAAAAACAATTAAAGTTTTTTTCCTTGATTTTCACTAAGTTAGACCATTTATTTTTTTTTATTTTTTTTAATATAAATTGCTAATATTGTATAGAACATTAGTGCCATTTTTTATAATGGGCGTGGAAGTGGATTAGGAGCTAGACTGAAAATACTGCCGCAGGGTGGCGTCCAGCGCCGCGACGCGGCGACGTCGCTCTGGCGCGCCTGACGCCGCCACTTGTGAGTAAGCAGATTAATGCATCTAACCCGTAAAATTTGTTTTATTCAGATTACTTTTTTTCTTTAGTAGTTTGATATTTTAAATAAAACAAATTATCTTCTATGATTAATTACTTTATTTACAAATTTTTGCAATTTTAAATGCTTCACTGTTACTCGTGCGTTTAATCATAATACCTTCAGTAGTGGGAATAAAGGCATGATATTTTTTTGTGCCTGGTATTGTCGCTGCCGATTCAAATCTGCTCTTTAAAAACAATCGGTTTTGTTGAATGTCCTCTTTTGGAGCATATAAAACGTGCGTTTGGGGCATTGATGTTTTCGCCCATTGGTACAAACGCTCGGGTGTAGTGATCGCTTTGTCTGACGCCGACTGTAGACTAGCTCGAGTTGCCAAACGTTTCAAGTTGCCCCCAAGTCCATCACATGGCCCTTTGCCATGAGAAGTAGCATGAAAATGAAACTCTGCCTCTGTACCGAAATCCTGTTTAAAATAAAACAGGTTGATAAAATTAAACCTGTTATTGAAGTGCTGGGGTGCACCATCAGTTACGTAAATATATTTATTGGTTGATATATCCTTTTCTTGTAAATGTTGATGTAAAATTTTTTGGAAGGTATAAAACGTTGCAGTGTCATGTTTTAGGTCATCCGATATCATTACAATACTTCCGTGTTTTAACTCTTGCTCCTTTTTGTAATAATACACAGATGTGAGGAGAGTAGCCTGGTCGTTACTCCAGTGAAATGCCTGGACAGCGTCTTGAACTACGAAGCTGTAGTTTTCAGCAAAATCGCACTGAATGATTATGTCACCCTCCAAAATCGACTCTTTTAATAATTTAAAATACCGAGTTTGCTGATCTGATATGTAGGCGTGAGGTTTTAAAGCGTCTAATCCTGAGCAAAGACTGTCGACAAATTCATCAGAAGGAAGAACTTGAGTGGCGATTGTGAATCGGTCTGTACCAACCCATGTATTAAACTGCACACTAGTCACTTGATTTGCGTCAAATATATTTCGTAAGTGTTCCCGAATTCCGACAAGGCCAGGGCAACTTTGGCATTGTTCGTCCAGTGACGATTTTCTTGTCATTAAATTGCAAGTTGGTGTCGGATCTGGACACATCATCTTTTGCAAGCAATCCTTGTACGATACTAGGGGGATAGCAGACTCAGAAGTAAGTGATGCAATATCCCCCCCGATTAGCATCAATTTAACATTTTGATGGTAAATACACACGCAGACTATATGAGTACCCGAATCACCAGCAAGAATGCACTGCTTAGGACGTAATGAAAAAAATTTTGAAAGACCTACTTTTGTGTCAGGGTATTCCAATTTGAACTGTTGATATAATTCATTGATGTTACACAATAATAGCTGTTTTTGTAATTGGACTCTTTGGCCATCATGTAGCTTAACAGACACAAAGTCTTTTTTCCCAGGCATTATTCTAGTGTTATCTTCTCTAAGATAAAATTCAGAAACTAAATCTACAACTTCTGATGTTAACTTGCGGCCCTCTCGTGGATTAGGCGATGATAAAATACCGTTCTGCTCAACCAGTTCCTTGGCTTTTTTTGCTTGCCGTCTAGAGGTATTGAATTCATCAGCAAGTTTATTTTCGCTCCATGATTTAGGTGCTAAGGTAAGAATCATCGTTTTCTCAGAAACAGATGTAGAAGGATCATTAAATTTCTCTTTTAATTGTAAAAGTATTTCGTTGTCAATGGATTTTATGTCGTTTGTCTGTGTTGACTTCGTAAGCGTATTTCCTTCTGGAACATAACACGAGACTTGTGAATTTTGGAGTGATGATTGGCTTGCTTGACTATTTAGGATCACATCATCAATAATTAAGGGTTCTTCACTAGCAAGACGGTCTCTACACTGCTTACACACATAATAATTAACGTTTTTATTTGTAATTGACCACTTTTCTGCTAGCACTTGTGATAACTTCCTCAATCCTTTAGTTTTTCTATGTACAGGTAAATTAAACGGATTATAACATCGATCCCCGTAAGGAGTCATGATATTCAAATATTTTTAATAGCGATATAATCTCACAGAACTAACAAAGTCACTCTCACGCGTCACAAAATTACGCGGTAAAATTGTCAAACATGGCGCCATAATTAACTTTTTTTTAATATTATGGCCTGGATACAAGCCCTTTAGGCCTTATTTCATACACATATTATGGAGAATAAAAAAAATGTATATTTATAATTAAAAGTGTAGTTGTAACGTATTTTAGTACTTAATAGGCATTAAAAATGTATTGGTTTTCTTAAAAATCTACAAAACATTCCGTCAAAAGTGATTTTATTTGATTGACGGTTTGATGACTAATCGCGCACAAGCGGCGGTCAACAGGCGCGGCGCTGGACGCCACCCTTCGGCAGTATTTTCAGTCTAGCTCTTAATCCACTTCCACGCCCATTATAAAAGTTGGCACTAATGTTCTATACAATATTAGCAATTTATATAAAAAAAATAAAAAAAAACTAAATGGTCTAACTTTGTGAAAATCAAGAAAAAAAACTTAAATTGGTTTTTTTTACGAAAAAAAAAATTTTTTCTCTATTCCAAAAACACAGTTAAAAAGCCCAGTAAATAAAGTAAGAAATCCAGTGGTTAAGTTATTTTAATATATAATTTTATGAGTCCATAATCGGCTTTGAATTACTGCATGCCAACCGGTTGTCGAAAACTTCAAAGTCCCATTACTCTTTAACTAGTCATTATATCACAAAAATATTTGGTACACGTATCAATAATAAGTATAAGTAGAACATACTCAAATATTACTGAAATCGGAAACATCGAGTTTTTTTACCTGTCCGCTTCACGTGGAATGCCCCACCTATTAGATTTTATTCATTTTTAAGCTTTTTATTAATCGCATCGCGGAAGGCACAAGTTTCCAAAAGAACGGAAAGTAAGAAGATTGTGGGAACTAATAATAAAAAGGAAAAATTAAAAACTAATGGTAACAAGGTGGCTACTTAACAAGTCGAGTTTAGACACAAACATTTTAAGAAAGATTCTGATTACCTGGGCGATAGATCAAGTACGGGTTAGTATTTAAAAATATATTAATATAATGTACATAGACAATAACTGCATGTTTACCGACTAAAATATAATTTTATATGTTCGGGGGGGCCCCCCCTGGGGGGTAGAACTGAGCTGCTGTTTACATCATGGTATGTATCTGGGGCAGGTAACTGCATCTGGATGTCTTTATTTTGATCAGAATAACTGCACCAAAATTAAAATTGCGGCCATGCTATTGCCAGTCTGTGAAAAAATCCAATGTTATGATTCTCATTTTAGCCAGAGGTAACCTAACTCAATGAGATGTCTGACTGATGCAAAAATAAGATAGCTTTGACTAATGAGCCCGCTAAAACTTACTGAGATCTATAAACTATTAAAATAATCATGGAAAACGCATCTATGTACCGAGAATGAGCATTCTAGCTTTTAATAATAGAAATGGTACCTTTCTACAAGATCAGTTTTTCTGCCTCGCACAGATGCTCCTCTCCTTTTCAACTCTGTTTTCGGCTGTATTACAGACCATGTTGAATAAATTTTCACCACTTATTTAATATTTTAAACAACAAAAAAACGCGTTTAAAGCTTAACAGCTGCAATATTCGGCTGTGGTTTGGGTCAAGCGTTTGCAGCGCCATCTATGTTGAGCTTTGCGTATACTTCTCGATTGTCACAACACGACGACACACACGAGTCGAGTCGGGGCAGGACTAAGGATGTTATTAAAAGACCTTCCCCTATCAGTGGCTTCACTTGATTTCTTAGAGTAAACGCAATACAACACCATCATTCGCATTCAATAACAATAAATTTTATTGTTAATGAATGCAAAATCAGTAGGTATATAAAAAAAGCCTAGCATTTATTTGCATAATTTAATACAGAGATGGAAAGGCAAAAATCATTCTTGGTTTCTTTCTTAAGTTTTATCAACGAGATTTTCATACAACTTGCAAGATTAACATGCAATATAATTATTATATCGATATATGAAGTGAGATCAAAGATGTCATTCTGATTCAGACGTCATTTAAATTATTGAGCAGATATACAGGTATAAAAAAACCTATGACAAAGATTAAAACTACGCATTCTGTACACAAGTAATATTACAAAATATTATACGTGGGAAACATTTGTATTTTTAAGTTAAAAAAATACATTTTTTTGCCTGTGTGTATGTGTGTGCGTGTGTGTAAGTGCGTCGATAAAAAAGTATCTCAATAACGTTTTTGTTAAAATCTTGAAAAAAAATATGTGACTTTGAATTTCAATAACTCCATAACCATACCCAGGTATGGTACAGAGGTAGAAAATGATCGTCATGATGTGGAAAATACGTGGCTTTTGACTTCGTTAAAGGGTTTTTTACACCCTGTATACAGTTTAACGTCATATTTTGTTTACTTTTATGAATAAGTAGGTATAAACTGCTTGATTTTTATATCGAAAGGAATGCGTAATGTCAAAATTAAATCAATACTAATCAAGTTTTAAAATATGATCCATGGCTAGTAACTGTATAAAATCAAAATAATATTAAATAAATATTTTAAATCGAAAAAATAACAGCGTGTTTGGGACATAACAAAGTAAGTTTCGTGAGAAGAAAAGTTTTTTTGTGGGAGATAAGAATAAAAAACCGAAGAGTCCTTGATTTTTATTTTTCGCAGATATTTTAGGTTATGTGAAAAAAGTGTAAATAGAAAGGAGACCCGGCACTTTTCATAGAAAAAATGCTAAACTTGTATACAGTTGAATTTGGTCTCAAAATAAAGCCAAAATTATTTGCTACATAAAACTACTTTTGCCTTATTTTTAGTGAATCGTGGAAAGAAGTTATATAATGATTAATATTTTTTGATATGGAAACCCTAAATCTTCAAGGGACAGAATTTTACTTCAAAATATTACTCAAGTGACTGTAAAAACCATGATTCCTTTGCTTTTTCTAAATAAAAAACCAAATGTCAATTTGACAATCCTAAAATACAAACAAAAAAATCTTTCGCATTTCGCATCCGCTCCCGCGTACTGTGGTTGTGAATGTTCTCTGCTGTGATTGCCTTTTTATCCGTTATTTCTCTTGACGACCCGGCTACGTATAGAGGTTTTATTGACAAACCTACGTATTTGACATTGACAGCTAGCTGCTGATGACAAATATTGCCAGACTACGTTACCCAATTATGAAACACAGATAAAAAAAATAAAAAAGTATACAACTTTGGCACATAATGCCGGGTGTCCTTTGTAACTAGATCTTTTGTTTACCTATAATTTTACCATTGTAATGTTTCGATAAAAGTTGTAGTTTTCCTAAGAATCGCGATTTCAAACAGTTTCCCCCTTGGAAGGTAAACCCACTCCGCCACACACTTCCCGACCTGAAATCGCGTAATTTATCCTCTTAATTTTAAGGCATTCTCTTTCTTTTGGGAAGGGTTTAGTCCTGTTCCGAAACAATATTTTAGTTTACTTAAGCTCTCTTCAATAATTATAATTTTATTAGTTGCACCTGTAAGTGAACGACAAGGTAGGACAAGACTTACAGGGGGCGCATATTCATAGATAGCCTAGGGCGGTCAGAACTCTAAATCAGGTGCTATGTGCGTGCCATAAAATCCTATACACTTAGATGCCAGCCATATCAAAATATACTTTGATAGATCATGTAAATGAAGTGTGCAGAAGATTAAGAGCTTGCGCTACGTTAAGCGGGAGCACGGAGCGGGCGCCCGCTCCGCGTATTTGTTTCATGTTGGTTCATTACTATAGTTAATACTTATAGAGCAGCGATGCGTGAGGCGGGTCTCTGTGAAATGACATAAAAACTGCACGCCGAGCTCACGCTCGCTCCGTGTTCCCGCTTAACGCAGAACGGGTTCTAAAAACTTGCGACTATAAATCAACTTTTTATAGGCAAGGAACCACCAATCCTGAAAGCTCCGTGATCACGGATTCTAATATTTTTAATGAAAAATAAAAGTTAACGTTGAGACGAACAAGATTTGCTTGGTCGGCGTGGATTTGATTGGCCGGAAATATTTAAATTAAATTATTTATTATTAAATTTCCATAATCTTTTTCCGTCATCAGCACGGATTTTGATCAATCTTATATAGAATTTTGTGTGAATGTTATGTTCAACAAGAAAAAATCCGGCCGTCCAATGATTATAAGCCGGAAAGGTCACGCATACCTATTTGAATGGTGTGATAAGGGGTAAAATTTAAAAGTAAAAGGATTATTAGTTATAAATATTTAATATAAATCTTTTGCCAGAATTTAAATAAAATTCACACACATACAAACACATACCTACGTATTGTGTACGGTAACCTATGAATTTGTGTAAAATTTGAAAAGTCAAGAAAAATAATTTTTTTTAAACAGTAATTATAGTTCAAGTAGAAAAGGCTTTACGATATATCTTCCGATGTGCTTTGTTATCTATAGACATGAACGGCATTTAATACCCAAAATTTTGGGATTTTTGCGTTTTTAATATCGTTGATGGACATTTATATTACATACAATTTACAAATAGGTAGGTATTTATTATTATTTAACGTAATAAGAAAAATACAAAATAAATTCGATCAATCGACTGTAAAGATATTATGCAGCCATGATTCCAACTATTAAACTAATTCACACTCATATAATCAGTGTCATGATAACAATCATATAAGCACATTCAGACTCAGTTTGAAACTATGGAGTCCAAATCAAGCTATTTCTTTATTAAGGTAATCAAAATCGCGTTTAAATTTTACATTAATTATATTGTTTTAATTAAATAAAGACATATTTAAAACCAACAAAGCTTTATTATTTCACTTATTTATACAAAATATAAATAATATTCCTCACTCTTCACTACAAGACGATACACATAGAGAATATTACATTTCTTACAAAATGCCAGCTTGAATTGCGTATAAATGCAAAATGAAAAAATAAATGCATAATTCATTATGTATTCTAGAATATGTCATAATAAGAGTAAAACTTATTTTACTAGCATTTATTAAAAGAAATGAATCAATATACGAAAGCTCGTTACGGAAACTTTTTTTATATACAGTCTTCTAGTTCACTTTAAAGAGATTTCAACCATGTTGTTTTGATTTAAGGCTTATTTTAGCATAGCTTAAGGCTTGAAAGTGTGTTTTAATCTAGTTTTTTTTTCTAGTTTATTTATTTTTAATAAAACAGGTACGCGTTGATTATTTTAGTAAACATTTTCATAAGTTTTAAACATCTAGCAGTTAAATGCTTTAAAAAAATATATACTTAATTAAAAATGTATTGTAAAAAGTTTAGGCACATTTTAACAAAGTTGGAGCATTTTGTTCTGATTCAAGGCCCATTTACTATTAAATCAAGCTTAATTCTTAAAAAACTGTTGTAAAACTTTTAAACCAATTTGATATGGCTTAAGAAATGAAAATGATTTCATTGCAATTGTTGCGGAATAATTTTAGTCATATTTTAATATAGCTTAAGTACCTATTCAAAATGATTTCATTACAAACTAGCGGCTGCCCGCAACTCCGTACGCGTGGAGTTAGTTAGAAATAAAGGTTCACTGCTCGTTCCCCGTAGGTGATAGCGTGATAATATGTAGCCTATATGTAGACCCGACTTCTTAATAATAAATTTGAAGTAAATCCATGCAGTTCTTTTTGAGTTTATCCCGGACATACATACAGACAAACAGATTTTTTTTTAAAAAACTATCTTTTTGGCTTCGGTATCGATTGTAGATCACACCCCAAGTATTCTTTAACAAAAATATCAATGTAGTTTTGACTCTCCTACCATTTTATTATATGTATAGATCTTGCGGTGAAGAGGGAAGAGGTAATTAAGCGACATGTAAAAGTGAGTAGAGAACAAGGTTGAAGTACAGAAAGTGTACTAACAGTAGCAGCAGCTTGTCGCGTCATTTCTTCTTCGCCAGGCCGGCGCCCGCGTTGAATTTGAAGAATATTATGTCACCGTCCTCAACTACGTAATTACGACCTACGGAGTAAACAATAAATAAATATCAATAATAATAATAATTTATTAACACCATAAAATGGTACAAAATATTTTATAAAATCTTACAATAATATAACATTCATCCATTTGCATAAAAATACATCTGCACCTGAACTAGGAGACCTGCATCTCAGGTGCAGCGCTCTTTATAGATATTCTCAATGCATACAGAGATATTTTCCAAAGAAGTAACAAAATAATAAGTGTAAAGTGTAGCGAGTGAAACCTCTCATGGTGAGTATAGTGAATATGAGTGGCTGAGTGAGTATAGTGAATGTGTGTGTGTGTGTGTGTGTGTGTGTGTGTGTGTGTGTGTGTGTGTGTGTGTGTGTGTGTGTGTGTGTGTGTGTGTGTGTGGGTGTGTGTGTGTGTGTGTGTGTGTGTGTGTGTGTGTGTGCGCGCGCGCGTTCCCTGTGTTTACTAACCAACTGTCAAGTAAATATGGATGAAAGAGAAAGAGAGATAGGTTGCTCCATAGTTTCATGCGAGTATCGCTCAGTTCTTTCTCTATTTCTATGAACAAAACGGAACCGGAAGGGAGTATCCATATCGTCATCTATACATATAAATAAAATTGGAGTGTCTGTTTGTAATATGTAAAATAACCGGGTTATGGTGCAATGCCATACCTTGAAATACCATTACATTAATTGACTAACGATGAGGATGAGCACATACAAATGATAAGAAAACTAAATACCTTGTTGTCTATATTTGCCAGCAGCCTTACAGGCGGCTTCGGTGCCTTCCTCCCTGAAGTCCTTGAAGTGCATCACTTCGGCCATGATGAAGCCCTTCTCGAAGTCTGTGTGGATTCTACCCGCTGCCTGGGGCGCTTTCGTTCCTTTCTATGGTATACAAAACAGAAACATGTTGAGAAAATCTTTAAGAATTTTTTAATAGAAAATACTGCACGCGGTCCAGATATAAGATGGAATTCGAACGGAGGAAGGTGGCGGTAGGCAAGCCACCGCCTACCGGGATTGCTATGGCTATAGCTAAAGCTTATTATTTCATTTTGTTATTACTGACCACCGAAGGTTTCGCCATTTTTAATAGATTTTATCTCCTATAACCATTTAAGGGGGAGAAATGCAGGAGGGTTGGATTATTGTATGAAAAATCAATTATTCTACGCACACCCTGTCGCGGGCACCGATCACTAATGAGATTTTCTATGCGTCATGAGTATCACCTACCTGATGTATCTTATGTGTTGCTTACCTTACATGTGATTGTTATAACCTATTCCGTTTTTGACGTGATAACGTCTCATAAATTGATGAGCACCGTCTGCACGCACGAAAAAGTGTCACGTTTCCGCCTGAGCCTGAGTGTCACTTATATATTTAGTGATCGGTTATCTACTCTTATTTTCATTGATCATAGAACAAAATTACAATCATTGGTGCTACTACATATATATAGAAAACTAAACATTCCCGATCAGTGATTATAAAAATTAACAATAAAAAAAGATACAACTTTTAAAGATTTAAGGCTAATTCACCTGAATTGTCCAAGCTTTAACTTCATCCGGGCCTGCCGTAAAGAAGTATTCTAATTGCAACGCCTTGTAGCCTTGCACGATTATTTTATCCAAAGCACTGAAAATAAAATAAAGAATAATTTGTTTGAAACATAGAAAAATCCTAAAATTTTGCCGTCTTACAAGCTTTAATTGGATAGCAAAGTATTGATTACAATAGTTTTTTTTTTGTTCTTGAAAAGGTTTATTTTTCTTTATGCGAGGATGCAAGTTAATTTATTCCATGTATATTTATTTGCTTCTAATAGAGCAAGGAAAGTATTATAGTTAAAATTCTTTATTACCTTGTAATATTGTGTTCTTTCAAGTAAGCTTTCCTTTCTTCGGGGTCCATATCTAACAATTTAGTTTCTAAAGCTCCTGAGAATGGGATCAAAGGTGCTCCTGGATCATTTTTGTCAATCCATTCCTTAAGTTTGGGTAACCTGAAAACCATAATGTATCATTAAATTAACTCATTTTTTGTGTCAGCTAGATAAGTAGATATTGGTGTCGATTCTAGCATGATTCTCTAAACCCTAACTTAAAGCCTAAGCCTTGTCATTCTCTATACAGAATTAAAAGGACTTAGTTTTAAGTTTAGAGAATCACACCAGAATCGACACCAATGTCCATATCCGTAGTACTATGTACCACTTAGTACTTTTTCTCAATGAAATATAAAACATATCCTTCACTTTACAAGTCGACTATCATTAATAGCTGTGTCAAAATCCAAAAGCTCACACATACTGTAAACACAAACCATTTATTCTTCTTCCTGGTATAATCCTTTTCTGATAAATTCACGAGATATAATGCAGGCTTGGAGGTTAAGAACAGGTATTTGTTCAACACTTCTATCTAGAAGGAAACAAAAACATTGTGATATTAATTTCATGGGTGTAATAAACCTGTAAATGATTTGAAAAGTTTATTATAAGTTTTAAATTAGATACTTACATCAGCAGCACTCCAATCACCAAAACGAATGTGTTTCTTTTCATCTACTAATATTGTTTTAATCTTCAAGAGCGAGTCCTGAAATAGAACGAAAGATCTGTATTAACAACTAATTAGATTGTATTAAAGCAAATGCGTCAAATAAGTAGAGTTAGTTTATTTTTTAACCATACATGTCGGCGCCGCATAAAAATAACATTTTATTCTGTCTTTTTATCATAACTATTTTATTAACCTGTACCTGTAAATACAGTACGTTTTAGTCTTTCCACCCTGAACACAATTCCTAGCTAGAAATCGCGTAATAAAATAAATATACAATTGGGAACCTTCTCATTTTTTTTTTAAGTTGGTTCCAAGTAGTCTCATTATTCTATTAAGTAAGGAAGGAAGCTACTTTAACAGTCGGGACCCATTAGATTTTCAAGAATGGTTTTTTTTTTCAATAATTGGTAAAGCTCTAAGATTGTGATATACACAAATGTTAGATAGATGATAGATAATGTGTTTATTATTTTCTACAACATACATATACATTTCAGAGTAACACAATTAAAAATAAAGATACAAGAAATCAGCCATGAATACCCATATGTATGCTGCAGAAAGCAAAAAGCCAAGGCTCGGCAAAACATTCGCCTGTTTTAACGCAAAACACCGATTTTCAGCCACGGTTTTGAATGCGGACTGATGCACTAAACTAAAACTAGAATGGAATTAGTAGATGTCCAAAACTAGAACGACTGCAAGATGATGTATTATTAAGCACCGATAAAATAAGATGTTTGCTTAATTTAATTTAGATCTTACAGTTATTCAAATCCAAGATACTCTTCAAGGTTCGAGTTCATAACGGTTTTTTTTTATAAGTAATTTCTGATTAATTCTGCAGCCAATAACCGATAATAAGGACAAAATGAAGGGATTTACTAATTACAAAGTTTTAACCAGAAATACCTCAGGTATGACCCGAACCAAGTGTTGGGCGAATCCCGGGATTCGGCACCAATAGGATGTAGCCTCCGCACCACACAAAAATAAAATAAAAAAAACCGGCCAAGTGCGAGTCGGACTCGCGCACCGAGGGTTCCGTACAAACCTGCAAGGTTTACAAAGTTCGTTCATTACGACAATCCAGTCATAACTATGGTATTTTTATTGCAAAATGAAATTCATAACATTACAATGGGGAAAGATGGAGGAGCATAAATTTAAGACAAAGATCTCTTTATCGTTTAAGTAATCCTTTATTTTATATTAACACATATCATTTATCTATAATATAACTGAAACACTTATACTAGCCTTGCAGCAGACTTGCGAAAGTTCTTTTATTAAAGTTATTTATTTACTAAGTTTTTTAGTCACTATTTAGAAATCTGGTTCAAAAATATTAATTAAGTATTAAATTTGAACCAGACCTGTAAATGGTGACTGAAAAAGTTATGAATAGTACCACATATTTATAGTTTTAATTCCCTTGCGTGTAGTTGCGAGTTTCAAAATATGCGGTATCAATGGTTGTACTTTTGCGTTTTGCGTTTTTGCGTTGACTTAGATTTTTTTTTTCACGGGTTAAAGGCAATTAGATCTAAGTATTTGATATGAATTTCAACTTGATAGCTCTACGCGTTCATGAGGAAAAAAGTAATAAGTTTATATTTATTAAAAAATATATATTTTGTAATGTAACTAAAAATTTAAGGTTTTCGGAATTTTTCCTTTATGTGTGCTATAAAACGTTGCTTCATGCCAAATTTCAAGATTCTAGGTCGACTGGAAGTACCCTTTAGGTTTTGATTCCCTTGCGAGTACTTGCGAGTTTCAAAATATGCAGCTTAAATTGCTGTTTCTTTTGATTGCGTTGACATAGAAGTTTGATTTTGTTACAGCTTAAAGGTATTATAGACCTGAGTATTTGGTATGAATTTCAATTTAATACCTCTACGCGTTTATGAGGAAATGGGTAGTAAGGTTAAAATTATTAAAAAAAAATATATTATGTGATGTAACTAAAAATTTATGGTTTTCGTAATTTTTCCTTTATCTATGCTATAAGACGTTGCTTGGTACCAAATTTCAAGATTCTGAGTTCACGGGAAGCACCCTGTAGGTTTTGATTCCCTTGCAAGTGTCGAAAATTTGCGGCATAAACGGCTGTATCTTTTGATTGCGTTGGCTTAGAAGTTTGATTTTTTCACAGCTTCAAGGGACAGTAGACCTGAGTAATTGATATAAATTTCAGCTTCATACCTCCACGCGTTCCTGAGAAAAAGGGTCTTGACAGACGGACGGACGGACGGACAGACGGACAACAAAGTGATCCTATAAGGGTTTCTTTTGAGGTACGGAACCCTAAAAACGATTGATGGCTTTATGCTACAACTGGGTCAGACTATTTCGCACAATCTGCCGATGAAAAACGAGAATGCATACAGGAATTAAAGTAACGAGTATAAAACACTCCCACACCTTTGGATGACGTGGTGGAGGTTACTTCCCTCTCTTTATTTTAGCATTCCTCTTATATAAATTAGGTACTTAGCTAAGTACTGTATAATACCGCGGTCTCTGGCGCTTTGTTCTCTCGATCTACATCGCCCGAGATACGGAATGGCTATGGCTCAACTCACGCAGAGTCGAGGCGTGTGTCGCGTCATGTTTTTAGTCTTGGTAATCTTAAGGGAAAATAGAGATGAATTTGCTACAGGAGAAATGCGTCGCATCGTTTCGACTCTGCGCCAGTGTGATATGAGCCTAAGTGTAATTATATAAAATGTAAAGCTCCTCACATATTCAGGTTTGAGTTTCTTATCGTTGCCACGGTTGACTTGGCGGTCCAACTTCTCAATATTTTGCATTAGCTGCTCCTCGTCTTTGAGCCTCAGCTCTTCACCGATGGTCTCCAAGTCGCGGACGGGATTGACGTCACCGTCCACATGAATAACGTCTTCGTCGTCGAAAGCTCCTGCAGTGGAACGAGAGTATTAAAATGATAATTTACTATATATGTTTAGATATATATATATTTATATTAGAGGAGCTCGATGGCGTAAGTGGTTAACGCGTTCGGCAGATTGTCTGTAGTTATGTATCTACTTTAACAATAAATTTCCAAATTTTAAAAAATTTATGTACCTCATGGTGTTTATAATTGTAACAAGAATATTAGATGAGTAAATATGTCCAATACTTACGACATAAATTGAAAATAGCATCACAAGCCTTGATATGTGAGAGGAACGCGTTGCCAAGCCCTTGTCCCTCTGCGGCGCCTCGTACCAAGCCGGCGATGTCGACGACATTCAAGAATGCAGGGACTTTGCTGTAATAATTGACAGATTAGGACATCAGCTCCATCGTGTAAGTGCAAGTGCACTAAGAAAAATCCGTGTGACTAAGTACTATAATATCTCATGCCGTTACTTCACTTGGCTATTCGAATTAACTATTTATAAATTTGACAAGTCTGCCCTTATAATGCTTTATAAGGAGTGAAAAGAACAAACTGGCAGACTGATGCCAAGTTTATAAATAGCAAACACGAAGAGCCAAGTGAAGTGCCAAGATCAAATGGTTCGCAAATATACCCGCAGGTATATTACGTAACGAGGCAAAGCAAGTTGCTATACAGGCGAGTTCTAGATGCTCTTAACGGTGTCGTATTGAATGAACCGGCGTCATACAGACATAGCCTCCAGAATCATTAAACGGAAGTGACAGTCTGCTGGCCATATTTGTCGAAGGACCGATGGCCGTTGTAGCAGACGAGTCTTTGAGTGGAGACGATTTGAAGAGCCCTCTTCAAATCTGGGCTGGGTCAGACTGCGGGAGGCTGACTTGATTGATTGTTGATTGTGATGTATCTATTTTCCAGAAAAAGTTGAATTTTTTTTTTGAATAAGGTAGAACTGGTGTGTGCAATATTTGTCTTAATACAAATTCTAAATAAAATGAGTCAGTCAATACAGTCAGCTTACCTTGCTGGCTTGTGAAATTCGCAGAGATAGTCGAACCTTTCATCGGGGACTGGTACCCTACTTGCTGAAAAAAAATAAAGCAAAGTTAGACGTCTTCATAGCTTATTAATACACAGAACAAGGTATGAAATCTTTTTTTCTTTAGGGCCTCTATAGATTTTGAATAAAATCAAGTATGAATCTAAAGAATATCGTAACTGTAAAAATTTAATTCGAAAGTGATCGGTATAATTGTAAGGCTAATGGCATCGGAGCTAGAATCTATAAGTTTAAAAAAATTAAGGTAAAAAAAACCTTTTTAAAAACAAGCTTTTATTCAAATGCGCTAAAAAGAAAATTTCAACTAAATTAGTTAAAGATATCTGTTTCTAAATAGATTTTCAAATTTCAGAAGTCCGCCATATTGGATTGAGAGTGACGTCCCATTTTTTTCGAGTTACTCTCAGCAAGCCCTTTAATTTGATACCCATATTGTAGGAATGCATTAAAAATGATTGGTCCGCCATTTTGGGTATGCCGCCATATTGGATTTAGAATGACGTCACACTGTTAATCATGCATTGTCATCCGAACTGAACGAGCATATCAAATTTCAGCTTAATCGGTTGAAAGCAAGTGCTTTAAAATTGAGTTGTAAGATTTGACCGTAACAAACATACATAGCAAGTTAAATAAAAGCTTGTAATAAGAACGTGATACTAGACGATAATATTCAATTATTTAGAAATAAAAAGCATATTTATGGAAAATTTTTAATAGTTTATTACACATGTTGGGAAGACAGTTTGTAGAAAAACCTAATCTACATTTGATAATAATCAATAGAATTTTGATAATATCAAATTACATTTAATAGAACCTTCACTCATTACTGAAGCTAAGTTTATTCTTGGTAATTACAGAAATCCTCTTGAAAATTAGTGCGGTACACATAAATTAAGTATGTTTATCTTATTGAAATTTGTCTATAACATTAATTAGACAAATATTAATTGTTATTGGCATAATGTGGATCAACATACACCGTGAATCTCGAGTTACCTGTGAAACTTTACCAGCTAATTCAAAAAACTATTTAGATTAGACTTCCGTAAAAAAAATGATATTAATTTTTTCATAAACATATCTCCACGTTAACTTGCTGTTTCTACAATTATGAAACCATAATATTTTAATTGTTATATATTATTCAAATAGAACTACTTTTCGCATCTGCGTACTTTAAACGGATAATAACCTTTTAAGATATTTTGTAAACGATATAAATCAATATTTTTATGGCGGTATAGTACGTTTACTATTTATAACTGTTCGCACTATGTTTACTTAGTTTTTAAAATTTTCGGGTAATTAGAAATTCACGAAAAGAAAAGAAATTACTCATTTTAGTTGTTTTGAAATGAAATGAAATAAAATGAAAAAAATCTTTATTGGCATTATAACAATAGCATAATTACGACAAAAGTTTTGAAATGTCTAGTAATGTTAGTTACATTTAAACGCAAACTAAACTGTAGACAATAAAAGTAAATAATAATATATTATCCTATCCCTTTAATTTTTAAAGATAACAAAGTAATAATAGTCAATTCAATATTTTATCATAGTAGATGAAGTGCTAGCTTTACTAATGAAGCTGGATGGTTTTCTAACCGTTCCAGAGTCTACACATTGAATTTTATTATGACAACATTTTGGATATTTAGCAAATGGGTTATCAATTGATCTCAAACGTAAACCAATATCTGTTATTAACTTACACTTGGCATCATATGTTTTGCAAATTTTTTTGATTAGCGGTAAAACCGCTTCATTGATTTGGGGGTTGTGTATTTTTAAATACAAAGCGATATAAAGTAGAGCAGATACTTTTATGCTAAGTCCCGGGTACTTAGGTCTTACCACGTTGACGGCACAACATGCATCTGTAATAATATTAGCTAAAGTTTGCTCCAAATAACCTATATTGGGTAGATTCTTTAAAGATAACTGCGGAAATATTTTTTTATGGCTAAATACCACAATATTGTAATACATATGTGGTTTACATAAGAATGAATCAAGGCATTCGGGACTGCAGAATAAGTATGTTTTTCCACGATAAGTTGCTGCATATTTACTATCGCCCATGATAATTTTTTGTGATGGCAAATTCTGAGCGTAAGTAACTATACATATTCCATTTTCATATACCATCGATACGTTTACAGTTTTGACTACTGCAGGAATTTCCGGAATATTTACATTATCTTTCAACAAATAACCTGGATGTTTTAAAACCAAGTGCATATGCTCAGGACAAATCCAATAAAAAATATTTTTGAACTGAACCACTCCATTTTTATCAACAGGATAGCCGCTATGTCTCAATATTTTCATAAAAAGACACAATGGGCACATATTCTTAAAAGCAGACATCCTTTTTCGGAATGTATCATCCGAAACACACATGAAATGCGCTGGTACAACATTATTTGTTACATTTATCAAGTAATAATGAATTTTCCGAATATTCTTTTCTAAGTGGTCCACAGCATCCTTTAGACACTGCCATTTAGATTTGGTGCCATCGAGTACATAACGATTTTGAATATCGTTATCAATCCATTTCCTAATATTATAACTTTTATTACTCCATTCTGAATACCTATATTGAATAAAAGGAGCCGAATACGGTGGTTTTCTTTTGAGTATGTCAAAATATATTTCATTTTGAGAATTCTCTACCGATTTTTTTGTATTGTTTGAAATATCGATTATAAATGTTGGATAAAGACCAGCACTTATTAATTCCATTGCTTCTGAAGCGGTTTCAGGAAACCCATCAAATATGAAACCAAAGTTTATTGTGCGATAGTCAATTGCGATAGTTTGAACAGCTTTCATAATGTCATCTGATTTTATACAATGACCTTCATTAAGAGAAATCTTCATACGTGAGGACAATTCTGTCCAATGCAGGATGTCTAATATATATCTTAAAGCTTTTCCTCTCGTTATACACAGTAATCCATAACGCTTTGCCAATTTATGTGCCAATCTACTTTTGCCAGATTTCGGAGAACCGATAATGGCGATCGTAACAGGAAATTCCTTAAATGAGCGAATCGTGTCATATGTAATAAATTTTAATGGATCTGTTCGAAATTTTTTTAAGTTCTCTTCGCCGAATATAAAGTATATATAACATCTATGAATTACTGGAAATACTTCACCTCTTCTTTTCATAATTCTAAAGGGGTGAGAAATAGATTGTGGGTTTTCATAAATATAAACAGGGCACATACGTCCAAATTTACTGAAAAAATAGAAACCCTTCGACAATAGCATTTCTGCGACATCACAGTTGGTTACAAATGTTTGTTCAAACAATGAATCAGTTCGATTTCTTAAATTACACATTTTGGATAAAATAAGTCTAAATGTTTTATTTAATGTCTTAGTGCCATCTACTGTAAATAATTTAATATTTTGTTCCAGTATAACATCTTTCAGTGATTGCAGACCTTCATCCTCTATTTCGAAGATTCCTTCAATTCTTGCATCAATTCTTTCGCGAGCATCGTCATTTCTTTCCCATTCGTTTTGATCAATGGGGGCCGGATATTCTTGTATCATCTCATTATAAATATTGAATAAATTATTCTCAACATTTAAAGCTTCCTGTGGGTTGGGTTCTATTATTGCACTGCCTGCAGTCATAATGTTGACTTCTTCATCTATAGTGGGAATCGCATCACTTAATATGTCCTCTATAATGAGTTTCACAACAACAGTTTTAGTGATAAAATCCATCCATATCTGTTTCTCAGCGTCAAATTTCATTTGTGCAATGTATTTTGCTTCGTTGAGTTGCGATTTCCACGTTTTGTACATTTTTTGCGACAATCTCTGCACTGAAGTCTCTGAATTACATTCTAATTCTATTAATAAATCAGGAATACAATAACATGCAACCATATCTTCAACATCAGAAGGAAGTCGTGGATATCCATCTAACACAAAACCCGATTCTCTAAAGGGCGATTCAAACCACAACTTGTTTAATAATTTATGCATTAAAACAGGCATAATTGGCGTACCTCTTTCCAAATAATTATAAACCATTCGTCTTATTTCAGTTTCATTCGATAAAATATCAGACACGTTATTATCGTTTTCTTCATCCATTTGAAATTCAACCACCCCCTCTTCATCAATAGGAGCATCAGTGAAACAGTTTTCATACTGGCGACCTACCTTTTTGAAATGTTTTGGAATTAAATATTCATTAATTATTTTGGAAAAGTTTATATAAATCAGGCCAAGTTCTTTGGCAATAAGTTGAGATATTGTGGACTTACCACTACCAATGCAGCCAATCACACATAATCTTAGAGGTGGTAGCCGCTTAAATGGCTTATTGTAACTTTGGTACCACGTCATATCCTTTTGAAATAATTCTAAACATTCTTCTTTAGAGAAATAGTGTATTTTATTGTTATATTTCACAGAGAACTCTGGTTTGCCATCCCATAGGACACCATACTTATAAAATGATATCGGACAATACGTACTGATTTCGCATAAATTTCTGGGATCATTAAAAGAAATCATATCTTTAGACTGTTCATCTTCTTCATCCACCGGTTCAGCTAAGTCATCCTCATTGATTTCGATAGTTAAATAATAACTTTTACGTAACTTTAATAGCACTTCTTCGACAATTTCAATATCTGATTTGCTTTCAATTTCTATATCAATATATGACTTCAATTTATCTTCTAATTTCAATTTGACACTATCCCAATCTTCACGAAACTTTTCAATCGAAGTATTAAAATTTGTCATAAAATCAATTTCAACGTTGGTATCTTCTTCTAAAATATTTGCATCGATAAAAAGAGTATCTAAGAATGTATTAATATAGTCTTGAATAATTATCTGAATATCTATGTAATTAGTACTCCGGAGAGTTGTAGATCGAAGTTTAGTTTTAATCAAGGGATCATTAGCCATTGTAAATCTCTCTTGGTGATTTTTGAGACAGTTATCAACTTTCTTGTATATTTGTATAA